GCCTTTCCATATACAAAAAATGTGTGATTCCATCTGTGGAAAGTTAAGTAACCAGACTAATTCTGCCTGCTCTAAATTCAGAAAGCGATTGAGCGTCCTTTTCAAACCAGTGTCGTATCTTATTTAAATGTTCTCAAAATTATTATCCCAATTATTTTCCATGCGCTAATTATAGATTCTCGATATTTTGATTGTTTTTGCTCTTATTTATTCTCGTTCTCTCGTACTTTCATTTGTTCTCCAGGATCGTTTCCCAAAAATTAATTCTCGAGCATTATAGAACCCAATGAACGAGTTCTAAACCAAATGAACAAGGACCGAGAACTCCTCGACATAATAAAAAAGAGGAAAGCAGCCTATTTGGGCCATATCATGAGACATAGCAAGTATGAATTCCTTCAGCTCATCATCGAGGGTAAAATTGAGGGAAAGCGCGGATTGGGCGGCAGCAATGCTCCTGGCTGAAGAACATTAGAGATTGGACAGGCCTGGACTCACATACTTTGCTGAGAAGAGCGAAAAATAGAGAGGAATTTGCCATGGTTGTTGCCGATCTTCACTGAATAGAGAAGGCACTTTAATAAGAAGATAGAGCCCAATAAAACTAAGAATAATTAGCCAGTGTTGATTATACTAAGATGAAAACTATATTTTCGAATTAATAACTGGGACCTGCCTAATTCACCTAATTCATTAACTGGTAAAAAGTAAATTCCTTCGACCTACGGTTCGTAAAAATAAAATCTTTATTTGATGTCTTATTAATTTCCATATTAATTAATTCGATTTTTTTTTCTATAATTTTAGGATTAATGGAACTAATAGACGAAAATTATTGTCCAATTTGTCATTGTGTTACTTTTTTTTCCTCTACAAAATGGCAGGTTAATTTTTAGGTTTCCGTACCCAAAGGGTAAAAACGGGAACCCTATTACTAAGACTTTCTTCATCCACTTGATCCGTCAAATCTAACCAAAAGGTCTATCTGCATAGACCGTTATAGCTATAGACAGTTAGATTTTACCAGATGTTGCATCTGTATTTGTCGCTATAGAACAAATACTGACAAATTAAATAAATGTTTACAAGTAAAAAAGTACTTTTACTAAAATTATCTTTTGAGTAAAATTTTATAGAGATCTTTCAAGTCCTCGGTATTACGTGGTTTTAAGCGTTAGGACTTTACGCTGCGATGACGTTGGAGCCGTAGTAAGGCAGGTTCGAATCCTAGTCAAGGCGACTTTTTTTTAATCGTTTTTTTTTTAATTTTACATATTTATTTTTACTTTTTACATATTTATTATTGATTAATACAATTTTTAGTAGATGTGCTTCTTCATTTTTTTTTAAATTACTTATTTTGAAGCATTCAAAATTTCAGCTAAATTGGACAAAAAGTTTATAATAATATAGTGGTCTAATGTTGTATAGATAATGAATGGTACGGAACCCTTCGTGCGCGAGTCCGACTCGCACTTGACCATTTTTTTTAGAAAATTATTCGAGTGATAACCCATATGAATATGTCGACCTTTTTTAGTATTAAAATATGTCGCACTTTTAGTAACTTTTACCCTCAAAATTTCATTCGAATTGCTAGAAGCACTTGGAAGAAAATTATAATAAAGGCTGATTCATGGTACACCGGGCCGTACCCGAGCCGGGCACGTTCCGTAAAGTAGACACCGAGCCACGTCCGGGCCTTCAATATATGCTACACCGAGTGGACAACGGGGATCATGTCCGTGCCGATTATATTCTAGAAAACAGTGTTGCCGCAGTGGTACATTTGTACCAAATTTGATACTTTTAATTCTATTTGGTACAGTAGTACTACATTTTCAAATCCAGGATGATTTGGTACAATAATTATTTCCCACGCGCACCGAAATTGAATAGATATTTAATAATTATTGTCGTTGATATTGCATTAAACGCGCTTACCGATACCATTCGGAGAAAATCCGCATTAATTAACGACGTATTATAAACGTTGTAATGTCTATAGCGTTGCCTATATTAAATAACCCGAAGAAAAAACTTGAAAATTTACTGTTTCTAACATGCTTCTATATTTGCGTTTTTTTTAAATAAAATTTAAGTTTTCCAAGTATTGTGTGTAGTATTAGAATTACTTAGAATTCTTCAACCTATACATACTTATAATTGGGTTTTCTGAATTTCTATTTCATGTTTTTCGTCTCGATTTGTGTCTTTCTCCAGGAAGTTTTTTTATGTAGAAATTTATGAAGAAATTCACAGCGACCAAACCGGTTAAAGTCATATGCAGATGTATTTTGTTGTGCTTTAAAAAATTGTACCAAAGTGGTACATTTTTAGTTTATAATGTGGTACGCGCTAAAAGTTGGGTGCGGCAACACTGCTAGAAAACAGCCGCTATAGGCCCGTAGATGAACGAAGTATTTAGCCCGGGCGACTCATTTATGTTTGCCGCAACGGGGCCGGACCGTAGCGGATCCGAGGAAAAATGTACACCGACATTTCTCGGACGGGGCACGGACGCGTTCCGGCGAAGCTCGGCCCGTGCTCGGCTTAGCATGAATGCATAAGTATAAATAACATTTGACAATGTTTGGCCGTGCCTTCACCGTCGCACGGCCCCGGCCCGTCACGGTGTATCATGAATCAGCCTTAAATCGGGATATTATTGAGACTTTAATACCTTGTTAACAAAGCAGAATTGGACCTATGTTAGTATGAAAAATAAATCTTATATTTATTACAAGAGGAATCTCCCCACGAAGGATGGTACATGTTTTTTGAAACACTATTTTTTATATTTAAAAATTGAATACTTGGTATTCTTCGCATTGGCGAGAATAAGCAGAAACCATCGATTTAAATTCGCGAGTTCGCCGAATTTACTAGGCGACTCCGAGCTTTTCCTCCATTTCATGCACACCCCACACCCAACTAGCAAATATAGTTCCCAGTCCTTTTTAAAATGTCACTGCCCCTAAAGTATAGTTCCTAGACCCAATCTGCCACTTAAAATGTTACTCTATAAGGAATAGTCACTTTGAAGTATATTTCGAGAGTGACCGGTTAGTCCCTACCTACCATAAAAGTGGAAAATAAACACCCCGATTGCAAGTCGCAAACATGTAATTTAAAGAAGTGGCTGGAACTACCCGAATCTTCGAATATGACACCATAAAAGACCAAAAACTTTATAGTAACTTTTCAAAGTAGGGGTTACCAACAAATGCTACCATAATGCCTCCATAACAGTTTTTTTGGTTACTTTATAGTAACAATTTAAGTTACGGGGTAGTCGCGGCCACGACACCTAGTTACTTCTAATTTACAGTAGCATTGAAAGTAGCAAAATGGTTACTGCTACCGTCCTAGGTTACTATAAAGTACCCGTCGCTCATCCATTGCCACTAAAAAGTCACGGGGGTCAAAACCGGCTACTTTATAGTGACCGTAACTTAATATACCCTAATAAATGTAATTATCTCAGATTGCATCGTGTGCTGCTCTGTTTTAGTGTTTTCTTTTACTTGCTTTTAAGCTTTATTAAAATTTTGTAAAATCCCTAAGGCGAATAAAAAGAAATTTAGATATTCTAGTACTTTCTACCGAAAAATTAAACAAAAGGAATCACTGCGAGCCGATGCATCAACATCAAAAACAAAAACTACATATTTCTATAATCCTACTGATGAACATTATAAATCAGGTAGTGATTGAGACATTTTTGAAGCTGTTTCTGTAGATGAGTGTAGTGTTAGTTCATCTGAAACTGAATATCAGAGGAGAACTAATTTGAGGACCAACAACAATATAAAAAAAATGTAACTCTGAATAATATAGAAACACTAATAATAGAAAATGCACAATAAGTAAAAAATAACTTCAAAGGACAAGGCGGAACGTCATAGTGGCACCAATGGAATGTATAGTCACCACCACCGCGATCGGTGTAGCAATGCTCCAATTAAGTGGCAATTTGGTGGAGCAGGGAACTTTCTTGGAAAAATCACTTTATGGTTCCAAAGAATCGTTGACCATGTAGTTCCAAAAAAGTTATTGTGTCTATAAAGTCGCTTTTGGATAGCTACAATTGTCACTTTATCAATCCGAAGATTTTAAAGGTCCAAATGGGTAGGGTTGGCCTAATATGTTATTGTTCCCGGTACTTTGTGGAAGCATATGGAACTATAAAGTATTTTTCGGATTAAACGGCCATATTTTTTTCATGAATTTTTAGACGAACAGCCAAATGGCTCAAACATTATGCGATTTTAAGCTAAATATACCTAGATTAAAGCTTTTTTCCTTAGTTATTTTGTTATTTCTGACAGTGGACTAATATTTTAAAATTTGACCCCGGTTTCAAGCAAATTATTATTATTTTTTTAATTACAAACCTGAGTTTCTATTGCAAATAATATAATAATTTGAAATATTTTGAGAAGCGCTCGAAAATTTTGTTATATAAACCCACTATTTTATTCAGTAAAGTTGATTGCGTTCTGGAATTTACCTAAAAAAGGCGTTAAAATCGCACGGTAAATAACAAATACCGAAAAAATAATAATGGCTTCAATAATTATTTTCCATCATGACATTTATTTTTATGAAATGTGAAATTGCATGAAGAGGTCGCTGCGAATAAAGTTCAACAGTTTAACGAAAGTTCCACATGTCGGTGGCTAACACTTGGCTGCCACGAAGCCGCGACTAGGCAGCGTCGTAACGGATAAGTCGCATTCACCAGTAGGCTACTTTATAGTAACACATCATAGTAACTCTTTTAGTGGCAAAAACTACCCAAGACACTACCCGGCTACTCAAAATCTTTCCCCATTTTGGTCGCAGTTACTTAGCCGCTACGAATATACGACGTAGCCGCCGATGGTAACCGCCCACTTTGTAGTGGCTTTGATAGTGGCAGTTACGTATCTGCCACTATAAATGCTAGTTGGGCATCGCGCTTTTTTCTATTTTACCGATCCCCTTTTTTGTCGTAGGGAAGTCTGGCCAGAGAACGATAGTTTTGGGAACGATAATATGGTAGCCGAGGAGGAATTTCTCGCCCTGAGGGACATTTTCTTCGCCGACTTGGGAGGTGAGTAGTGCATTTCGTTTTATTTACGTTTATAACGTTGCGACAACTGCAGGCTACGTGCCCTGCTTTTGCTATCTCTTACGTGTAACGTTTTTTCTCCTATTCCTTTTGCCCACCGTTCCTTTTCCGATATCTTTTGAAGTTTTGTAACATCTGAAATCGACGTCTGTTTATTTCCGATATGACAAACACTGAGATACGTTTTGTAGAGTCGTCTCAAAATACACGGAGCATTTTGAAGTCAGGAAGGTTTTAGGAAATTTTGTGTAATTGATATTGTTAAAGAATATCGAAAGAATTGATTTTTTAGTGTAAGTAAAATAATTAGTTTTCTGACAGATGGAAATAAATTGTCTGATTGTTTGACACTTAATATCAAAGGAAGCTATACAGGGTTGTTCACCACATACGACACGGAGTATTGTAGCTAAACGATTAGATTTTTACAAATTGTAAGTTTTGGGTTCGATGAAGGACTATTAGTTAGAGTTACAGAGTGTCCCAAATAAGTAAAATATATCAAAGTTGTATTTTTTTAAATGGAACACCCTGTATATTATTACATTTTTAGTTTCTGCGATTAAAATAAAGGTAAATTTGATTAAGATTTATTATACTTAAACCTTACCGTTTTTGAAATATTTTAAATTTTGTGAAATTGCAGTAAAAATTTTAAGGCTTCATTTCTCCAAGGGTATCAAAGTTTTTAATACTAAATATTTACTGAAGTTTATTTACTGATCAGTTATTGTGTTTACAGTTGAGGGTTGGAACCTTTGGTGTTACTAAAGTTTATAATCATCTGCTGATGATGCTAACATGGTTAGCGAAACGCGCGTCCAGTGTAAAAGTAAAAGTGTTTTGTTGTATTGTGGTGATTTAGTGTTTCTATTTTGCAGTTATTGTGTTGCAATAATAAAAATAATACTACCTTATACAGAGTGTCTAAAAATTTATTTTAAATAATTATTAGCTTCAAACGGCAATAACTTGTTTAATTTAAATGGAACACCCTGTATATTTTACGAGAATCAGATGCACAATTTAATTGTCTACCAAATTATATTACACCATTTTTTACCTATCTCTTTAAGTTTCCGTAGAAAATGCATTTTCTTGTAATTTAGAACTTATTTATCAATATACCCATGGACTATTGACATCTTAGATTATTTTTAAAGATGTACCAAATTTTTAAAGAGTACAGATACTAATATTGTCGATATAATTCGTTTATTTCATTAAAAAATAAAAAAAACTGTTTAAATATTTGTTAAAGAGGATCAATTAATATGATTCCAGCTGTGATTCCAGTATTCAAACTACATTAACTGACTGTTTGCGTTGATTAATAATAATTGCTCCAAATACTAAAAAACTGGATTTTGTATGGGCATTAGACAGTGTGATAAAAAGTAACACCTTAAAAATGATATTTCATTTTTTAATAAATGCTTATTTATAACTACAGAGACTTTAATTTGATAACTTATTATTATATTGATTTCTGACTCAAATCCACATTTATTTATAATAATTTATTAACGAACACAATTAAGTATGTAATTAATTAGTATATGGGCGGAAATAATGGTGTTATATTTAACTAATGGTATACTCTTTTATAAAGATTTAAATAGTTTTCTTTTTGCATACAAATGGGCTAGTAATATTATCGTTTTGCTAAAAACGATAATATTACTAGTCTGTACATTTTGTCCATTTGTTGCTTTAAAAACAACCTAAAATGTCAATATTCCATGGATATATTGATAAATGAGGTCTCAATTATAAGAAAATGCATTTTCTACGAAAACTTGAAGGGATAGGTAAAAAATGGTATAATACAATTTGATAGACAATTTAATTGTGCATCTGATTCTCCTAAAATATGCAGGGCTTTCCATTTAAATTAAAGAAGTTATTGCCGTTTAAAGCTAATAATTATTTAAAATAAATTTTTAGACACTCTGTATAAGGTAGTATTATTTTTATTATTGCAACACAATAACTGATCAATAAATAAACTTCATTAAATATTTAGTATTAAAAACATTGATACCCTTGGAGAAATGAAGCTTTAAAATTTACTGCAATTTCACAAAGTTGAAAATATTTCAAAGGCTTGGTAAGTTTAAATTATAATAAACCTTAATCAAAATTACCACTATTTTGTATCGTAGAAGCTAAAAGTGTAATAATAGACACAGGGTGTTCCATTTTAAAAAAATACAACTTTGATATTTTTTATTTATTTGGGACACTCTGTATCTTGTAAAAATATTTTTAAATTGTAGCTCTAATAGTCCTTCAACGAACCCCAAACTTACAATTTGTAAAAATCTCATCGTTTAGCTACAATACTCCGTGTCGTATGTGGTGAACAACCCTGTATAAAATCAAGAAAACTATACGTTTTAAAACTAAATTTTAAATGACTTAAAAACGATTTATTTTAAGTATAGGAACATGTATTGACAAAAAATAACGAATTGAAAAACCTTTTCACTAGTGAAATAAAAAAAGGGGGGTTCCATTTGAAAAAAAAAATGATTTATGATAATTTTTAACAGGTCAATTCCATGACAGCTACTGCCATTATTATATGCATTCGAACAATTTAATTTTTGAAATAGATAGTCATGTGTCTACTCTTTATGTGATAGTGGCTTTAGTAATCACTAAATTTAACTTTTAGGCTATACAATTTTTTTAGACAGGCAGTTTTTTTCGCCCAAAAATTTTAAATATTTTTTTTTCCTAATAACGGTTAATGTTAGGTATAGAGTCTTTAATATCAAAATTCATAAAATTTTACAGATAATTTAATTATGTAATAAAAAACGGGGGCACCCATTTAAAATAAGAAAGTTGCTGTCAACTTCCTGTATTTCCGGAAGTGCCGCCATATTGAAAATATTTCTAATCGATAGATAATGTTGTAAAACAATGGTGTGCAAAAAATATCTAATCTAGATATTGTGGTTCTCTGGAAACTTCTAATGCACGCTCAGCCTGGGACACTTTGTATATCTTCTAGTTTTCGAAGTCCCAATGACGAGGCTCAAATTTGGGATGTTCTGTACATATAGGCATTTTTTTTGTCTCCACATCAATTTTTTGTAAATTGTAATGGTATATAAAAGCTCCATTTTTGATATACTACCTTAGAACACTAATATAATTTTACTTTCTAGGTAAACAGGTTTTCAATTTATTTTTGAATTTTTTTACAATATAATTATATTATATTTTTACGTATTTTTTTTGATCGTTATTTAATATTACCCCTCATTTTGCTAAAGCATTTTTTTTTGGCATAAAACCTATTACGTTTTTTTGCTGTTGCCTGTTTGAAATGTTGACTTTTTCAGTTTATCTCCAATAAATGGTAAATATTTTTTTATGAGCGGTACACCGACTGTGGGTGTATTAAAGAATATTAGCATTTAGCGGGGTTAATTATTTTTTGCTAGGAATAATAAAAGTGAAGATAAATGAATGTTAATATTCATCGGTTTCAAATAAGATTTTTTTTTTGTATAAAATTACAGTTTGTTTAATATTCATGAAAATTTTAATAATTTTGATTTAATTTTAATTTGCCTTAATTATGTTTTAATTTTATTATTGTATTTGAATTCATTTTTATAAATATTTGAATTCAAAATATTTAAAGGCAAAAAAATATACCTTTGTTATTTTAGCAAATGTTTGTATGCTTTGTATCACGAATTTTATTAACTGCTATATGGGGAGAATGCTTTAATAATAATATCCAACAGTATATGCGTTTATTGTTTTTTTGTGCATTGCCACTGCTCATCCTACTATTATATTATTTGTGTTTGATATTTTAAATTGATTAATATAATTAGCATCAGCCCAATTAGTAAAATTAATGGCGCAGTTCTATAGATATAATAAAACAAAAAAAAAACATTACATAGACGGATTTATACCTAATTATATAATTTATTATTTAGTGTGCGTTTAATTTTAATTAGTGTTAATTTTCTTTACCAAACAAATAATACAATTATAGGTATGTATATTTTGGAATATGCTTTAAAATTTATTAGTTAATATTGTGATTGTAATCTGCTTTCTGTGCTGGCAAGATAGACGGATTACAAAACTTAGTAATTCTACAAAGAAAGTATCTAAATATGTGAGGGAAGCTACACCATAATTGGAAATGGTTTGAAAATGATGGTGATTGTGATTGTAAAAATAATGTTTAATTTGTTTAATTTCATTTTGTATTTTGCTCTTTATGGATAAACCAATATCCTAATTTATAAAAATAATTTGATTTTTGTAAAAGGGAAGTATTGCACGAATCAAGAATTAACGCAGCTCTGATAAAAGCTGTACAAAATCTTTACCATGGAGGAAAATCACAAATAAAAACGATCAACGGTCTCTCTAAGGGAGGAAATTTCTATCACTAAAGGGCTCCGACAGGGTTGCTGTATATCCCCAACACTATTTAAAATTTATATTGCCAAGGCCTTACATCTATGGAAAAGAAAATGTAACGGAATGGGTATAGAACTAAATGACATATGCCTAAACACCTTGCAATTTGCAGACGACCAGGCCATAATTGCAAACGACAAAGATGACATGGAATATATGGTGCGGAAAATAATTGAAGAATATGCTAAATGGGGTCTCACAGTAAATACAGAAAAATACAGAAAAAACAAAATACCTTCCAATTGGAGCTAATACAGAAAATCTTATTTTAGACAATAATATGGAAATTAGGGCATGTGAAGATTACAGGTACCTGGGATCAATATTTACAGGAGATGGAACGGACGATAGAGAAATAAACAACAGAGTAATACAGGCACGAAGAGTTATCAGATGCATAAATGACATTCTATGGAGCACTGAAATTACAAAAAAACAGGAAATATAATATATACGAGACACTAGTTACATATTACTCTAGTTACACATGGCGAGTCACTGAAAGAAATAAAATTAGA